TTGATTTACCCAAGCCTAAGTCATTGTATTGTGTGCAGCAAGACAAAGTTACCTCAGAGAATGGTGAAACAATAACTCATAATACAAATGCAGCTAGGGCAGAGGGTCAGGAGAGACAAGCAGAACAGCTGTCTATAGTTGAGGTTGTCCATTGCTATCTTATAGAATCTGACCAGGAACTTTTTAAAAGTTCTGGGGACAAGAAGACCTTTTGGACAGTGAGGCCTGTGTGAATCCCAGTGGGGGAGGGGAGACTCACCTCAAGCAAATGACTGTTCCTCTCAAAGATCAAGTGGGTACAGAGGAGCAGGGACACTCTGGTACCTTTGCAGCTAATATAGATTTGGCAAACACTGATAAGAGATTAGGACAAAACCGTTACTGCCTTGAGGTGGAGGAGCAGTTAAGAGAATTTGGCCAGAGGGGTGAAGGAGGTCAGAGGCCAGAGGAAGGCAGTGACAAAACTGACGCCAGGCCATGTCCTTTACCTGGTATTTCAAACTCAGTACAACACAGTGGGTTGGATATAGGTAGACGGTTGCTCAGAGTTACCCTGAGGGAAAGCGAATTCAGTCTAAACATAACTGAGGGTGCAACATTTTCTCCCCAAGCAGTTCCCCTGAAAAATATTCAGACTCAGAACATTGGAGGTGCTTTGCTGAGGCAGTTGGGTAGCAGCAGGTTTACTGCTGAGCTTGTCAAGATTTTGGGAACTTATTCCCCTTACAAGAGGATGCAAGTAACCTTCCTAGGGAAAGAGGGAAAGACAAGCAGGGCGGTGGTCCAGGGGGAAATGATCAATCCCTTCTATGAGAAAGGAGACATTGTCTTGCTAGCATTGGAAGGGGCAGACAAGGAAAGACACGAGTTACCTTATGGGGAAGGGAGGTGTGAACTCAAATACCCCTCAGAGGAGGACCAAGTCTGTACCTCAATTTCCCCAGAAAACCAAAAAGGAGCTAGAGCTGTGCTTCAGAGGGTCAAGCATAATTTTTCCAACAAGCTTAAGGTAGCCAGGGGTGTAGTGCATAGGTTTGACACCGGGGATGCACGCCCACATGTGGTTACACATGATAGAGGTCAGACCTATCTAGCCAAAATTTGGGGCTGGAAAGCAAGGTTTGTCCAAAACAAGACAAGGGAAAAGACCCTGCGAAAACATGCATGGCCATATTGGGAAGGCAGAGGGGTGACCTATCATAGGATAAATAGGGGGAAACCCAGCCTAACCCAGCCAGTGGTGCAAAGGGCCAAAGAATGGAAAGTTAGGTTCGAGCTTGCTAGGCCCTGCTTAAAGGGTTTAATCAAGAGCAGCACGTTAGCAGCTCCAGAGGTGAAACTCTGTAGAGCAGCTAAAATTTCAAGACGGAAGGAGAGATGGAAGACTGTGCCGGTGGCAGACCACATCCAGAGGGGGCTCGAGTGCCAGAGAGGTGTCGCCATCATGGAGAGGTCCAGATTTGGGTCAGGAGCCGTGCCGAGCCAGGCAGATGACTGCAAGATCCTTCATCTGAGGTGGTTCCGGAGAGGAAAGCTGCAGGTTGGTAAGGGACTCCAGCTATCTGCAAGTCGTGAGTTTTGTGAAGGTGCAGAGGGAGTTGGACTTCACCACACCTCCAGGTGTGCTGGAGGGTAGGACATTTCCTTTATGGACACTACTACTCCACCATAACTACAGTTTTGGACTCTCGAAGAGGACGAGAACATGGTGGTGAGAGAGAACTCTTATGCCATACAACTTGGACTGTGGAAGATTAAAGTGCAGACAAAAGAGACTCATAATGGTGTGGCAGATGACCTGGCAAGGTGTGCCAAAGACTGAATAAGAAATAAAAGGACTTTGGTAAAAATGGCAAAAGCTTTGGAAGGTTAATTGTACCATATTAAATGTTATATGTTGTGCATCCTCTGAAAAATTGTATGTGAGTATTAAAAATGTGTAGTGATTTTATTAAATAAGCACTTGTGTAGATAACTAAATTGGTGAGGAATGCATTTGAACTGATAACAGAATTACAAAAGTAATGTATAGCGTGCATATAAATTGTTTAATTATTACTTATGTTCAAACGTGATAAGTGTTGATTGCAATGTTGTGTAGTGATTGGTTAACTTCTGTATAGCTCCTCGTTGTTTATGAGGGTAAAGCACTATAGCTTTTCCCCCATGAAACAACTTGTTAAGGGGGGAGGTATGTAACGTTCAGCCCGGCCCTCACCTGTCCGTCACAGCTGAGCAGTGGAAAAGGAGCCAATGAGGGGACGGAAGGTGGTGCTAAAGGGGGAGGAGCTGGGATATAAAGGGGTGTGTATGGTGTTTGAGAGAGCAGTTTGAGAGTTTGATAGAGTGAGAGAGTGAGATGAAGGGAGTTCTGTGAGTCTGTGAGACAGTGTACCAGAAAGTCAGTGAGAGTTAGAAGCTGTGTGTTAGTGAATTCAGTGAGTGAGAGAAATTGATTATCAACTGGTGATTTACTTATTATATTTTACTGATCAAATAAACAAGTTTACATAAGTGTGTTAAAGAAACACTGGCCTCATTGATTAATTGGAAATACTGGTGGCAGCTACCTGAGTAGAAGAGTGAGCACATACTGGAGGCCTGAGTTATTATAGGTTACAGCATGCCTGTTACACTGCTCAAGCAGGTAACAAAAGCAAAATTCCAAATTATAAAGTTCAGGCACAAATTTCTCAACAGTCCACTAGAGGTCCTCAGCATATCAAAATAGTCTCAAAGTCTTGCTCTGTAGTCTCTTTGCCAACAGAACACAGCATCCTGAGAAATCAGCCTGTTAAAAAGAGAAACCCACTCTTTGTACTGGTTGGGCTGATGAGAGTGAGACATCCAAGGCCTTCCCAGCACCTTGAAATATATTCCAAAAGTGAAGTAACCATGTGTCCCTTGAGGGTAAAGCCACCAGGATGAACTGCTGTTATCCTTACAGCTGAACCAAATCACTGGCAGGCTTCTGTATTTCTTCTTTTCGCTAGCAGACTTGGATTGACCAAATGGAAAGTGAAAATTCTTATTAAGCTACGTTGGGAATTCACTCTTCCCTCCTTCTATCTATAGGAAGTCCAGGCATGGTAATCTATTTACAAACAGAGTTTTAAAATGTCTTTCTCCTCTGTCCAACGTGCCTTGAGGTATCACTCTCAAGTCAATCGTGACAACAACAGGGCTTAAAAGACAAAATAAAAGTCTTAATGATAAAGATTTGCTGAGCTTGTAAAGTTTATTCTATAGCCCCTCCTTTCACCCCACAATTTCAGAGCTCAAAGCAGTCTCTTCTTTGTTGTATCAACCACTTCTCTTCCTCCGAGGGGGAACCCCCCCCATTCCTTGCCGCCAGGCAGACCTTAATTGTTAAGATCTCCTGATTATAGCCGCTTGTTTCACCAGTTCTCTTTAGAAAGAGGACAGCATTTGTGGGGGTGTAACAAAGAAATAAAGTGGTTCTTCTTTGCTCAACTAATTTTAAGTCATATAATTCTCTCACTGAGTGCAAGCCTGTGGCATTCTCTTTGATTCAGTTACTCACTTTCTTCCCTGGGAATCTCTGGGTCCGTTCAGTGGAGCCTTGCAGCTAAATCACCATTATAAAATGGCATCGTCAGGATCTTCTGTCTGGGGGAGAGATTTCCTCAAGACAGAGGGTTGCTCAGCACTCCTCTTGAGTTCTCTCAGCACCCCTGCAACCTAGGGGGGGGGCTTCTCATAGCACCCCCTACCCTCAAATATTTTTGAGGAAGTCCCGATCTGCAGTATGCAAACAGGTCTCCTAGGAGCCCAGGCTCCCTGCTGCAACATTGCTTCTGGCTCCACCCCCTCATCCCCTTCATGTTTATTATGTATTTACTTTATTTCATAAATCTCTTTGTCTCCATTTAAAATTATAATTTTCATAAGATGCATTTATACCCTAAAGATACCTAACACACCTTTGTAATCACCATTTGCATGGAAATATGGAAATATGTGGGCCCGGTTTCTTTCAGAAATGTTTGTTATATAGGATCTTCTCAGTGAGAGATCACTACAATCAATAAAACTTATTCTGTCTTTGCACACGTGTGTGTGTATGTGTGTGTTCTGTATCATCGAGTTGGAACTGACTTACAGTGACCCTAATACAGTGGAACCTCTACTTAAGAACTTAATCCGTTTTGGAATGGTGTTCTTAAGTTGAAACATTCTTAAGTTGAAACAAAATTTCCCATAGGAATGGACTGAAAACCAATTAATCCGTTCTGGCTGTTTTTTTGTTATGTAGAGGTGTGTTCGTACATTGAAGCATTAGTTCCCATAAGAACTAATGCAAAGCTGGTTAATATGTCCTCTACCACTAGGGGGAGAATTTTTTTTTAACCTAAGATGACCTAAGGTTAAAAGAAGAGCAGGAAAGGGTTTTTTTTGCTGTTCTTATCTTGGATTTCTGTTCTCAAGTAGAAGCAAAATTTAACAAATGGAGCTGTTCTTAAGTTGGATTGTTCTTAAGTAGGGACGTTCTTAAGTAGAGACCCCACTGTAGGGCTTTCAAGGCAAATGAGATCTTTAAGGAGTGGTTTTACCTGTTCCACTCACTCAGTGCATTTTCATGGCCAAGTGGGGATTTGAACCCTGTTCTCCTAGTCCATTGCTCTATCTACATACACACCCTTATTTGTACTTGAAATAGGCCATCTGAAGGGAGAAGTTAATAATGGAAAGTATAATGTAGGAAGAGATTTCTGTACTGGAAAATAAAAATGCGTTTTATTACAAATTACAAAGCTAGGCAAGAGGGGATATGAAATGCCACAGATTTAGAAGCTCTGTATCCAAACAATAAACACTGAGGAGATACAGCAAAATCAATATACTGTACTCATTTCAAAACCAGACTCCACATATGCATGCACAAAACCACCATTAATGCAAGCAGATATGTTCACCTGCACACATCTTGATATCTTTACATATGAAGATACAATTTAATAAAATAATGTAAAAATTACCTTTTCATAATCACCTCGTTTACTTCCCAATGACTGCTGTGCTAGTTTTTTAATAAGATCTGCAAAATAAATAAATAAATAAATTTTAGAGAGCATTTCTGTTGTAAAGGCATTCATTGCTCCAATAAAGAAACCCTAACCATGTAGCATGGAAATAATGCCCCCATTCAATGTAATCTCACATGCATTTTAATACTCAGGACCAAACCAGGCATTAAGGAAATATACATTTCCCATCATCTGTTCTTCCTCCACAATCTGCTCTCTTCAGAGGTAGGTGTCTCAGCAATTCAGCTTGCAAAATAATTCCTTATTTACCTTCCAATGGCTAACTGTGAAACAAACCAGGCCAAATATTTCATTACTTAAAGGAACATCACTTCAAAACAGTTGCTAAGCATACCAGTAATCTGATAGATTTTCCTGGGAATCCCTCTAGCATCATGAGGACGTCTGAGTGAGGGTGTGTTCCTCTTTTCAGAATTCAACTCTGTCAAAGTCCCATCAGACTTCAGAGCTTTGTCCCCAAAATATACCAATTATGTTTAGAAACTTTTGAACTATATAGAATGAAGTCCCATATGGAAATCCTTTGGGGATCCAGCAGGCCTACTCCATCTAGACTACTCAAAACCAATCTTTTTAAACTAGCCTTCAAGGACATCCTCTCCACGAGGCAGCTATGTGACCCATGTTTTCACCTTTGCTGCTGAAGATTATTACCACCATTTAGTTTCTTTTCTTTAATCTGTTTAATTTGTTTGTAATTGTATCACTCTGTTATTTTCCACTATGTGTTATTTATTTGTTTTTTCCACTATGTATTGGTTTTTATAGTTTGAGGGTGTGGTGGGATGGGAAAGATTTATGTTGTCTAAGACTGCCCAGAGTAGTTGATTTCCACTAAGTGGGACAGTATAAAAATGCCATAAGTAAGTAAATAAATAATAAGTTCAATATATTTTGGGGTTTTCCCTGCACTTCTTAGACAGTGCCATAGTCAAGACCTAACCTCTCAGTGCCTTGGCCCAATAGCCCTCAGGGTTGTCTGGACTTTTGGACCTCAGAAGAATTCTTGGAATCCAAGATCTTTGGATACAGTCTTACGCATCTCTTTATCAGGGTGTTTACAAGACGAATCTGAGGGTCCCTACTGGGGCCATTTGCTCTTCTCTAAAGGGAAACTTCCAAGAATGCCAACTTACTTTATGACAATAAACAGTATGCACTTCAGCAAAGCATGTGAGACAGAGGCAATGACGGTTTGACTGGATGACCTTGCCACAATCTTTTCATTCTTCTTTAACAAATAGTGGTCTGCAAATAGCAGCCAGCATAATGATTATGAAAAACTTTGTGTCCTCGCAACTCAAAGTACTGACAATAAGAAAGGTTTTGCTAATTACCATCAAAAGAGTCCAAAGAAGCAAAGAGAGACAAAGACATAGAGAGACAGAGAGAGAAGATGTGACCCAAATGGTTGAAAAGAAGTATCTCTTACTTCACAATGGGGAAACATACTGAGTGAAAGGTTGCTTGGCACAAAGAATTATCATCCTCTCAAAAATTCTAGAGTCCTATCTGCCCAGACTCCTGGAAAACAAAATATTTACAACTCAAGAGAAGCTTTAACCACCAAAAGAGATCCACTAGTTTTATGAAAATGATGATGATGCCAATCAATTTTTCTGCCCCAGAAAACTTCCATACAGAATAGATCTATTAGTAATTTGGGTGTGTCCCAACTCCATAAATCAACACTATGATGCCTGGTTGACATGGGGCACAGAAAAAGTTGCCAGAGTGGCCTGTGGCACTCCTGCTTACAAGGGTTGTTTCTCATATTTTGGAACACACATCCACGTACTAATTGCTAATTGCAGACAAGTACATTTTGTTTCATGTTTTGTCAGTTTAAATCCACCTGTCATCCAGAAACATTGCTCTGACCATGTAAATGAAATGACTCCACAAACTATGATGTAACCTCCAGCCTAGCAGTGTTACTATACATTTCAAAATGTAAAGATTCTTCTTACCTGTTCAATGAGACAAGCTTAATAAAAACATCACTAAAACAGTTGCAAAACTGGTAACTAAACTGCTTTAACTAACCCTTTCACATGACATTTTCAAACACATCAGTGTCAAAGAAAACATTATACAAACTGTATTTGCAAAGGCTTTCACAGCTGGGATCTAATCATTGTTGTAGGTTTTTTGTGCTCTTTGGCCATGTTCTGGAGGTTGTTTTTCCTAAAATTTCGTCAGTCTCTGTGGCCGACATCTTCAGAGTACTCTGTGCTCTGTTGCAATTTGGTCGGGAGTATTTATAGCTGTGGGATCAGCTTTTGTCCTTTGCAGGAGATGGGTGATTATGGTGATTAGAGTGTTTTTTGTGGTTGTATTGTTGTGATAAGGAGGAGAGATTATCTGTCATTTTGATTGATGAGTGTCGTTAGCTGGTCTTTTGTGTGCAGGGATCACTGGTCATTGTGGCTGGGTAGAGTTTGTTGACCTTTTGCAGGCTGTATTTTTCAGTGCTG